TTATAAATAAATATTAACTGCTTACCTGGAACAGTGTCATTAAATATCATTCGTATCGGAGTAAAACCGTACAAACTCTTAGGTGCTTACAAATAAATATTCATGGTTGAACTTCTTTAAGTATACGACGAACTTTTTCAAAGCGTACATTTTGTTCGTAAGCAAGAAGGGTCGAGGATATAAGAGCGAAAGCATGTACTCTTCAGTCGATTTCACTTCAGCTGAAATTAAAGCTCGGTTGGGATCAGCGGTTTTTCAGATTGCGGCCTTTCTTTGTTGCTGGGGTAATATATGAAATAGGTAGCGTATAAAGGGACCCACGAAAACTGGTGTCATTCTCCACGACGAATGGCCTTCCGTCTTTACAATAGTGTCCTCGTCCTGTGAAAGAAATGGCACGTGATTTGTACTACCTAATAGTCTCGTTGACAAGCGTCCCAAATAGTTATTTAAACTAGGTGTTTAGACTCATTCTATACATTTTTATAAAGGTTGGCTTGATTACAATAATATCTTGTTTGGAATGAAGTAAGTCCCTAAATTAGAGTTCGGTTTCAAAGTAACGTGATACCGTCTATCAGTGATTATATTTGCAAGATAATATAATTCTGTCGACATTATTTTACTTAATGGAATATAACTTCCAGTATTTGAGTCTGGCATCGATCTTTCTGGGATTTGTGATATAAATTGCAAATAGTTATTGAGACTAAGCTGACTAAAAATAAAGAAAAAGAAAACTTGAAGGGAAAAGTAACCTAAAATAAAGACAAAAAGCTACAGAGTAGTCAATTTTTAATAATCATCATCACATAAATAGGAACTTGAATTGTTATTATAATAAGATACCGTAAGAATCGGTGTCACATTGGTTTAGTGTCGAGACAGTAACCTACATAATGGGCCAAGTCGGATTGAACTGACTAATTAATTAACCGATCATGAACATAACTACATAACAGATATCACAGTAAATGGGATTAAACGGACTCGGGGGTTGGACTTGAAAATCCTTCTGAAGGTTGCGTTCGAATTACATTTTCTCGAAGCACTGTTGGTTATAAAAATGAAATACATTTTCAAGGCTTTGTAATTTAAATTGACAACAAAAGAAGCTGTCTGGAGGCTGGCTAATCCAGCTGGATTACAGTGAAGCATCGTCGGCGACGGGGCTAATATAACATTGATCGTATATCTAAGGCTACGTTTGTACGTAAGTATTGAATCTTTTGAAATGGTGTCTCTATTGGCAACTACAATTTTTGCTATTGGATACGTGTGGTTGTTGTTTACTTCGGAGATGTGGAGATATAATTAGATCGTGACAATAAATGTGATTTTGTATGACTTGTTGTGGTTGATTTTAAATAGATAGAAAGAATAAGAAATAAGGTAAGTGTTAAAATTGTCTCTTCTAGCTACATCCACTGGCAGATAAGTCATTAGGGCTGACCATTAGAAGGTTGTTTGGAATAATCAATTAATCATGCAATAAAAAAAATGGTTTATAGAGTTAATTGACAAAATATTTAAATCAAACCATGATAGGTACTATTTATAGTTTTGTAAAGTAAAGTAGTTTAAGTCGTTATAATATCAATTTACTTGCACACACTCCAAATCTGAGCCTATCTTACTTATAAAATTGGTAAATTTTATGAACTTGGAGAGAATTTCATAAAACTTTTCCGAAACGCGTTGGTGGATATTCACTGCTCAACCAGATGGTATCGAAAGTTCATATTTTGTTGAAGTGACAGGCCCCTTGTTGATATAAGGTGATGGATTAGTTGCCACCGTTTATATATCGTATAGCTAAAGATAGTGACAGAGTAGACCGATTCTACTTTCTAGAATGAAAGGACCTCTTCTGTGTCACAAACTTATCATTCTCATTTTTACACATCATATTAAGTAAATCTTCATCTTCTATAGCATCGTATATATATATTTATATGATATATATAACTGAAGTTACCAATTTAATACCACAAGCTTACAGAAAACCAATGTTTTCAAGGTCACACTTGTTGACTCCTTTAGAGTCGAGTGTGTCTATAGGCGGTGCCATAACTAAATAACTTATCTAGCTTTTCATGGTCTATTATTTTAATATATACATACATAACTATGAAGTTATGAGCCTGTCTCCTATGGGGTAAACAAAGACTATGAAACGCCAATCACGATTACTCTACTTAACTGCAATATTTCTCTATGTCCATACCAATCGTTTTAGTTGGCAATAATATTGTCAATTATGCAGGTGCGAAGTCGATTAATGTAAGTAGACATCTGGATTTTCTAGAGGGACTATCATTTAACTCGTCGAGTACCGGTTTTGTAGACACAATTATTGAACAATAGGTTGCGGTCACCGGTGACCGCTTGGTGTTTGACAGTTTAAAGTGTTCAGGTAAAAGGATCTAGGAGATCTGCAGTTGTTGTTGAACTACGTACTAGACGGTGACACTTTAAACTTAATTCAACAAATTTTAACGTTTATTAAGAGCTAGCTTTCCACCACAGGTTTTAAAAAAAATAGTTAGAGTGGTTTCCGACCCAGCCACTACCCAGCAACCCAGTGTAGCAATTGCTGGTAGCCTGACTGACTGACTGACAGACAGCGCACTGCCGAAACTATTGGACCTAGGAAGCTAAAACTTTGTATATATGTTCCCCGGGGAGTGTAAGAGCACTAAGGGAGGATTTTCCTAAATTCCTTCGAGAACAGCGATAACGGGAATCAGGGTACCTCACAAATAAAAAGCATAGCCTGAAACTTATCGAGTTCAACAGTTACGTGAGTAACCCGAAAATATAATTTAAATTAGTCTTTTATTTAGATATAACTTCTACCATTACAAATGTCTGGGTACTCACATTTGATAAATAAATCAAATTATGTATCATGTAGGTATACAAATAAATATGAGTCGATTTATTTTACCTTATTAGTTAACATAAGAGAAATCTTAATTCACTGCAGATCTTATTCACTAAAAACTTCCGTACATACTTTCTGACAGAGGGAATTATCCTTTACCCTTCGAAATTCAGTCAGAGTTTTGTTGAACAAAAAATTAAGCTCTTGGAGCTTTGTCCTCACTAATGCTAAAGAAGTGTCAAAAGCATTAAATCTATTTTCAAAGTTAAAAGAAAAATCATCCAACTTTGTTTTATGCTACTGCATTTTTGTTATTTTTCTATACTTGGCCTACACTAAGATTTTATCCTGTGTCGTGGGTGCGTTTACAAACATACATGTTCACATACACAGTCACACCAACTCAGACCCGCAACAACAATTTGTGTATCATACAAAGAGTTGCCCTGTGCGGGAATCGATCCCGCTCCACGGTGCGCGGCAGCTAGTTGTCCAGCCACCGCACCAACCGTGTAGCATGCGTTTGATGTCTTTTACAAATCAATACTGTAATTACATGCACCTTATTATTATTCTTATTGTAACCTCCACTGCCATCGCTTTAGAGGCGAGTCTTAGTTTAAAACAGAGGTTCAAAGGTGCAGCCCTCAACTCAGTGAGATTTCCACCCGCTGGAAGAGTAGTGTTTGACATTTTATTCTGCTGTTATCTCATCGCACTGAATACAAAGCGCGACACCAATTAATTGCACACAAGTTAATACAAATAATAACGTCTACTTTTATCAACATTACGTTCCTAATGAACGTAGAAAAATCTTCAAAATAGCTTTTATCCTCAGCAGAATTACTTTTGAAGTAATACCAAGAGCTTCGACTAAAGTAGTGCGGTAACAAGAAGATTAGAAAATGTATATTGAAATTCGCCAGAAAAAACATTTTTGTAATTTTTCAGCTCATTTGGCAACAATACAGATTTTTATCGATTTTAAAATTAGGTGTTTATTTTTTTGTATATTCAGGTCATATACGCAAAGAGTAGAAAAAACGAAATGAGATTTTGCCTAGATTTTTTTGTTACGTAGATTCTCTTCACATTCTGGGGACTATCAACTACCAATCACTATTATGGCAAATGATTTATTTGATAGTTCAGCATCCCTTTTTTCACGACTCCAACTAGACTATTTATTTTTTATGGGCACTTTATTAAGTAAAGGTTCTTTGTAAGTGGACATGAGCCATGAAAGGCCTTTTGTTAATTTGGCTCTTTCTTTATTTATTTCGATAATGTTTGCTCATTACCTACATTTATTTCGCTAGTTATTTCTTTTGCGTCAGGTACCTAATATAAGGTTAATTACAATAATTACTTTTCTATGTTTCATTATTTTTATAAAAATCTAGTTAGAATCTAATAAGACTATACCTTCAGATAACTTTTATTGACATACTTAGAGCATTATTAGAATATTTTACACAAATCTATACAGCACGTTGCAATTGGGACTTCTTCGATTTGTCATCTGTCACCTGCTGACTCGGTCTATCGGTTGACCAACATGCGTGCATTATCTGCGCGTGAGTCACCGGAACTTTAGTGAATGCATTTGTGAATATTATGGTGTTCTTGTTTCCCAGTTTAACGACCATAGCACTTAACTATCCATTTTTAAAGCATTGTTGCCGCACAACATTTTTGACGCGTATTTAATGAACAATAATTTTAAATAATATTTTTGAACGAGTAGCATTATTTGGGCTTCCAGGTGAACTTTCAAGTTAGTAAGCTAATGTTTGAAAATGATTTACGTACTTGTAAAGTACCGTTTACAGTAAAAGCTCAACTTTCAAAGTTTGCAACCGCATTAAGTTTCACTGTGTCGCGGCATGGCACCTGTTTGAATTACGGCTGAGCCTGCTGCTCAGAAAATTCTTATGCCTTCGGGAGCTGTGAGATAACAAATGATGAAACAATGACGCCATCATGTTAGGTGGGCCATGGAGGCATTAAACCCCCCGCGCGGGGTAGGTCTGCGCGACGTTGCCGCTCCGTAGCGCCGCGGCTTGCAGCGCTCGCTAGCGACGGGTTGCTCGTCACACCGCGTGCTACCTTCAACCGAGCGTCCGTGTCCGAACCGCGCTCGCTCCGCGTCGCCTTTTCAAACAAACTTACAAACTCACTTTCCGCCGTCGGAAACCTGTTTTGTCTACAAAAACTTCTTATTACAGCATAACTAACACACAATATTCGCTCCTTATTCCTTCAATAAATTCCAATAAACTTTTAGTGAACTTTAACGCATTTAAGTGCGGCAACTTTGAAAAACTTTATAAAGTTTGTTTTTAAGCTGCCGATTGGCTGCGGTGTGCATGTGTAAGCTGTAAAGTCATGGCTGGACGTAGTTCTCACTAAACCGGTAAGTAAACGAACTTTACTGGAAATATGTATTTGAATTCGAATGCAAGAGTGAAGTATGACATCGCGCGTGTATAATTTGTTTGTTTGAAGCTTATCGTTTAGATTTGTCTTCTAGGAGTGTGTAGTAAATGCTAATCAATGTCCGGTGTTCATCGGGGACTACTCCGATGTGGGCGTCATGTCGGACTGCATTCCTTATGATTCGGCTCGACAAAGAAACGTTGACATGCACTCGGTGAAGGTTTTGTTTACAACACATTATTTCCACGAAGTGTTTCACTGTTTTATAGCAGTGCCACAATTGTCCACCGCTATCGTTTACTGAGTATCGAGTTGCGGGCAATTGTCTTGTAAGATGAAGCGAAGAGAGCTGAATTAAAGATACCTTATACCTACATGTCGGTCGCTTTGTTGTGTTTATTCAAACACAAAATTATGAGGCAACCAAGCAGAGATTAGTCATCAATTGCAAGTAACAACAAGTTCGATTGGCTGGAGAGGTTTTGTGCCAATACTAACTAATAGAGCACTTAGGTACACTTAGGCCAAAATATATTCTTATAAGAAACAAATAATTATTAAAACTAACTACTTAGTTACTCACAAAATTTTGCATCTAAAACAATGAGAACTAACTTTTGAAGTTTATGACACCGAGGAAGCAATGTTTGCAATGAAAGCATGATGTAACTAAGTAAGTAGGTACTTGGTTCAAGTTTCGGAGATAAACTTGTCTATCTTAGACAAGATAAGCCATTAAGATTTTCCTAATCCTCAGCGTCTTTGAAAGTCAGTTAAGCAGAAACAGAGATCCTAAATGAAAGAAACCTTTATAAAAATTAATTCAACATTAAAATAACGTCGAAACCGGGAAGGGTTGACATTGATTCAAAATTTATTCTTTCCTCCCCATAAAATCTTCATTAATAATTTGATGAAAGCGAGTGGATGAATAAATTTGGCAATTAGAGCCACCTGGACGTTTCATCTTCAAAATTTCATTTGCCCACTGGATTTTGAGGCTTACATTCAAGAATGTGTTCTATTGGTATCAAGAGGAATGTCGAAAATTCCGTTTTAATATAATACTCAATGCTTTTGTTCTTGGTCGGCTTGGAAGGCACTATAAATAGGCTCTATGTCATAGAGTGTGCTAGGTACTTGCGAACAATGACGAGCAATGATTGCACCACCCTCTTAAACGCTTTCATTGTCCGCGGCAATAACTTAACAGCAAATAATGACCATTATACTATTTTGTCACCTTCGGTACAAGAAATGTGCCATATAATACATTTTTTATATCGGAAGAAACTGTATGTAATGCATTAATGGCGATTACCGAGGTGATTTAATTTAGTTAGAAACGCTACACCTCTCAGTTTATTTCCCCAGAGCACCTTTTGAAGGTCTCTCCTAAAATAAATAAGGCACCAACACAGTTACCTTCCGACACATTGTTAACATAACTCACAATAACGTTGACACAGATTCACTTCCCTAAATTGGTAACATGGGTTATTATTTTACCAACAGTAACGTACACGAGGTTTTTTCTTGTATTTTACCGAAACCGCCCGTGCGAGTCCGCAGTAGACCTAGTTGACTAATTGATACTTCGGCCAACCGCATTCGGACGTACAAACCAACATTTGATAATCTATATATATAAAATTCAAAGGTGATTGACTGACTGACTGATTGACTGACTGACATAGTGATCTATCAACGCACAGCCCAAACCGCTGGACAGATTGGGCTAAAATTTGGCATACAGATAGATGTTATGACGTAGGCATTCGCTAAGAAAGGATTTTGATAATTTCCACCCCCAAGGGGGTAAAAAAGGGGATGAAAGTTTGTATGAGACTTTGTCAGTTTTAAACCGATCGGGTTGTAATTTGGCATGCAGATAGATGTTATGACGTAAGCATCCGATGTGAAAGGATTTTGATAATTTCCACCCCCAATGGGGGTAAAATAGGGGATGAAAGTTTGTATGAGACTTTGTCAGTTTTAAACCGATCGGGTTGTAATTTGGCATGCAGATAGATGTTATGACGTAAGCATCCGCTATGAAAGGATTTTGATAATTTCCACCCCCAAGTGGGTAAAATAGGGGATGAAAGTTTATATGAGCCTTTGTCAGTTTTAAACCGATCGGGTTGTAATTTGGCATGCAGATAGATGTTACGACGTAGGCGTCCGCTATGAAAGGATTTTGATAATTTCCACCCCCAAGTGGGTAAAATAGGGGATGAAAGTTTATATGAGCCTTTGTCAGTTTTAAACCGATCGGGTTGTAATTTGGCATGCAGATAGATGTTACGACGTAGGCGTCCGCTGTGAAAGGATTTTGATAATTTCCACCCCCAAGTGGGTAAAATAGGGGATGAAAGTTTATATGAGCCTTTGTCAGTTTTAAACCGATCAGGTTGAAATTTGGCATGCAGATAGATGTTATGACGTAAGCATCCGCTTTGAAAGGATTTTGATAATTTCCACCAAGGGGGTAAAATAGGGGATGAACGTTTGTGTGAGGCTTTGTCAGTTTTACACCGATCGGGTTGAAATTCGGCGTGCAGATGGATATTATGACGTAAACGTCCCTTTAGAAAGGTTTTTGAACATTCTCACCCCAAAGTATGATACTTTGCCAGTTTTAAATTGATCGGGCTGAGACTTTGCATGCATAAAGTTACTATGACATAGGTATCTCTTTAGAAAGGATTTTGATAAATTCCACCCCTAAGGGGATAAAATAGGGAATGAGAGTTTGTATAAATCTTCTTAGCCGTTGAATTTAGAATCATTGAATCTTTTTGAATTACATTCGGTAAAACGATGATTTGGGACCTGGGTAACGTATGATAGTTTTTTCACAGATGTCTCACGAGAACGGGAACTATGCGTCAATGCCCCAGGACTCTCTAACTCTTAACCACTGAACTTATTCTAGAGAGATTCGGTACAACAATAGTCGATAGAATAGTTTTTATTACTCAAACCTTACGTGATCGGGCACTGTACTGGTAAGATCCCTGCGGGATTATTTATTTATTGAAACTACGATAAATCATTTCAAAATAGGTAAATCTTACTTGGGCACTGAATTGATTCTGGTTAATTCTGTCAGAAGTCATTAATCTACGCGGACGAAGTCGCGGGCAACAGCTATCTACACATATAATAAATCGTAGAAAAGTCAAAACTGTACATTGAATATTTTTTAAAAGAATATTTTTGAAGCGTGATCTCTAATCGATACCGAAGCCAATAATGTGGTTTTTAGAATTTTTGTCTGTTTGTCTGTATGTATGGCCGTGATGATCTCAAAAAGTACTGCACTACTATTTCAAATTTTGCATGAATATTACTAACAAGTCTGGTAAACATATAGGCTACATATTATCACGCTATCATCTACGGGACTGAATCAATTCTGACGACATCCATTACCGTAGAATATCCCTTGATAAAAACTAATTCAAAAGCCTAAATTCTGCCAGAAGTCATTATTCTACGCGGACGAAGTCGCGGGCAACAGCTAGTCCAATATAAAGCAGGGAACCGAGCAGTAGGCCGGTCGGAGTTATTAGTACCGACATATTGTAACAGAATGGTCACCATTACTGGCACCACCATGAGTGGATAAATAAGTTTATTTGACTTCCCTCCGATATTGTGATGGATCACTATCGATACCACATTACATCCAATAAGACAATAAATAATATTTCTGCTATCTTCCTCCATTCACAATCTATGTGTTCGTCTACGAATATTTGCTTCAGCGAATATTTTTATATAGGAATGAATATTGGGGATTATACATACCTACATATTTTATTTTGCTCTGTCTTATAGTAATCCAATAAAGTTCGCGTAAACTCCAGTCAAAATGTTAATTTCTTTTTCAAGACTTCTTTGTCTCCGTTTTTTAAACAGATTTTAGGGAATAATCTTGGTTCTTAATATTTAGTAAACCTTGAATTTGTTCCATAGTGCTCCTCAGGGAACAATAAAACAGTTAGTCTGAAGTTAGGGAGAGTTCATATTTTATATTTTAAATATCTACCGAGATAAGATAGTCTTTAGAGTGGTTTTCATTCTAGTTAGGTGATTGTTATTATAAATAAACTGCGTAATTTAAAAACATGAATTTAAGTTTGATAAGCCAAGCATTCATCAATTAGCTGCTGATAAAAAAGTAGAATTATTTTTAAATTTGACAAGACAAATAGGAACTTATTGTGAGTTTTTGAAGGCACAAAAACAGATCAACTACGAGATCAAGCAATCTCATAGCAGCATCAATATAATACAGTAACATTATTACAAATTATTAAAAACATAGTCATTTAAATATGAGGGCATTTTCCTACAACCTCTTATAATTTACTGAATCAGTTTGAGTGTCATGAACTAGAAACCACACATAGTCGCATATATGCATATGAAGACCCTTTTCCGTTGCTTTGTTAGGCCTTTTTGTTACCGTAGTCTGTGAAGCTTCATCTTGCAGGCTATTTAGCCTGCTGCTCGACTCGACGTTTTCCGTTTGCAAGTAGCCAGAAAACAATTCGACTCACCGAATGCGAGTTCCATATCCATTGTATTTCCTGACAGGTGGGTTTAAATGTACACTTGTACAGCCATATAGTTGGTCACTGTAACTTAGAAGTTTTAACGTCTTAAATTAAGGATAGTATGTAGTTATCATTTGTGTATATATACATATTCAAATACCAACTCCGTCTCCCAAACCAAGCAGTCCAGAATCATAGGAGACAGAACATTCAGTGTCAGAACATAGGAATACTATTTCTACTATACTTCTACCTGCAAACTGTCGTAATACAAACTTATAAAACTTTTCGTTTCGTTCCATTGACCTGACCTTAAACTTGTGATGTAACTTACATAGTACAATGTCATGGCGCGGAATGCTTTTATTTTCGTTCGCCTTGTCGGCCGCCAACTACGTAACGTAGTTGC